CCTCGTGATGGCCACGTCAACTTGGGCCAAGTAATTGAAGCCACTGCTCGCGGGTTCAACATGGGTCCTGATTTGTCAACTATCCTCGGTGTTTTTGCTGTCCTCACGGACGGAGATATCGCAACTGAGTCTTTCTACTTGGGATCTGGCCCAGGGAATGTTGGCGGATTGAACAGGCACTCAACAGTCGAGGTGAGACTATGAGTTGAATTCTGTCTCGTGGCACATGTCTAACCTCCCTCTTAGGCCGATATTTCACCTAACCGAGAAGATTTCTACAACGGATGTGGCGATGCTCACCACCTTTCATCCCGTCTGTTCAAGCAGAACGTTGACATCGTAGCGAAGAGCGGAACGAAGCAGTTTGATCTGACCAACATGGGTACACAATACCAACAACTGTCCATGTTCTCTCAGAAAAACAACCCTTACCTCTACTACTTCCCTTTCCCCTTGATCGTCTCTCTTGGGGCTTTTGCCTTCTACCCTAACGTCAGTTGCTTCCTTCTCTCTAATTCTCTAGTAGCTACTAACATCTGGCGTCCAAGTTCTTCAGCAATGGCACCTACGGACTAGGGGGTGTTGCCAATTATGAGTCCATCTCCTCTATTATCGGGGCCAAGTACGACTCCGCCACGGGGGAATTCCAGTACGTACCGGAAACATGGCCCGCCAACTGGTACCGTCGTGCAACGCCGTACACTGCAGTTCAGACAGTGCTGGAGGGTCTCCTCATCTACCTCCGCAACCCTGTTACTCCGGCTGTTGCGCAGCTTGGCACAGGAAATCTGAATGCCACAACTCTGCTGTGTGATGTTTACCAGGGTATCAATTCACTGGTGCCACTCTTCGTCGCCGGGACTACGGAGCAGGTGGCTGCCGCGACTACATGGGCTATTTCCAAGCTTGACCCCTACTTCGGCAACACCGTTCTCGGTTGCCCAACCAGCGTTCTCTCTCCAAACAGCCCTAGCATCTTGTTCCCTAATGCCAACCAGCAGGGCGGTCCGCTCAATCCCCCTCCCAGTGTGGCCAAGCATATTGGCAACAACGTATACTACAAGACGTACTTTACTTCGGCACCGGTAACACCGGCGTGCTGAAGTATCCACGACAGAGCATACAGTAGAATAGTTCTTTAATGATTTTGTGCTTCTTCAACGATAAACCCCCTTTTACATTATGTGCTCGTAAAAGCGAAAGGATCCTAATCAAAATATCTTGTATTTTCTCTTTTCCCATTTGAAAATACAAGGATATCATGCTGTGTACTGACATTATCTCGCTAATCACAACAAGATTATATATAAAGAAGCCTTTCAGCACAGCTTATGCTGAAAACACCGAGATCGTGCGTGACCCTTCAATGCACGAAGGAAGTATTATGACCCTTCGCAAGGACTCTTCATTTCTCGGCTTCCTATCGTTACCTACTTAGTTTCCATTCGACAAGATCACAATTGCATGGAGTTTCAAGCGAAAAACACTTTGCTTTGCCTGGAGAGGCTGGGATCTTAACAGATACTAGTCCCGAAGACATGAGGTGGTTGCACCCAAGTCCCGTCCTGAGGCCTCGCCTGACCTCGTACAAGATTATCAAGCGATGCTGCCAGTATGACAATATCGTGATGTCACAATTAGCTGAAGAACTGCGTGGGACTCTTTGTTGTAAAGATAACTTTCAACCTGCCCGATCGAAAACTGGCTATGCTTTCCGACATATGAACATGAGTCAAACCACTAGTCAAGAGCCAATGTTTGCAGGAGGGCGATGCGACGTTGAGAGGTAAAGGCCCTTTTTCGATACACAACAACAGCTCTACTTTTGTTTGACACTCAGGATGAAGACGTCGAACAGCTGGAACCCCAGAACAGGTGGGACAGATGGCGGCCAATGCGTTCCAAGTTGAATCGACCTGAGGTAGGGGACATGAATATGGAGGTGTACATCACCGGAGCAGCTCGTTGCCGGCGGGAATAAATGGATACATTATGCAAATTGTGCAGCTTGTGCCTTTTGACTAAACCAGCACTAACGGGGTGGAACCCGCATCGAAAAACCCTTAACTCTATAAATGCAATTACATGAATGCTCGGGGTCCTCTGCCGTCCCGTTTCCCAATTGGTGACCTTGGTACGGACAATCGGTAGACAAAGTTTCCGTCTGCATTCCGCCCGTAACCAGCCACAATCCTAGACTGATTAGCCTTAATCAGTCAGTTAGTGGTCAGATCCAAATGAGACGCCAAGCATGGCTCACGATGATTCATCCGCGCTAGCAGGGATTCTTGCGTCAAAGGATGACTGGCGCTACCCTGAGTTGTTGATGGAGATCCCGAAAGTGAGCGCTTCCCAGGTCTGCCCCTCCCCTCGAAACCCCCTCCTCCCTCCCAGGCGCGCCAACACTGTCTTGGCTACCGGTACCTATGTCAGTGACGACTGGTATCCCATCGACTGCTGCAAGGCGACAGTACATCCGAGTGCGGGGGAAGAACTTATCAGGCGTTATTCCGATTTATTTCCACTATATCCGCAAATCAAAAAATTCATATCTTGGAGAATTTGGAGAAAAGCTGGAGACCATTGTACTGTCGCCTTGCAGCAGTCGATGGGATATTTCGTCGTCGCGAATCATAGAGAGGAGCTGTTTCATTTATCTATGTGGCGGTACATGAGTATATACTACGGAGAGCCGTATCGAACTATTCGTGATCGAACCCTTACTTGTTGCAGACTAATCAAGATATTAATTATCGTCTGCTATTCTGCCACAGCTAGGAGCCTGAAGGTGACTATGCTGATGTTGGCAAACCAGTGCATGGATATAGAATGAGCCATGTTGAATCACGCGTGCATTGTTATCATTACGATCGCGCTTAATTTGTGATCTTGTCTTGTAACTCAATAAGTGCCAAAGGATTATTACAAAGGTGCCGCGACGTCGTAAGCAGCTTCATGGAATACAGTATAACTGATCAAAGGTTTCATTTATCGATTATTCCACGAGAATATCCGACCTACCCAGCGCGCCCATTCATCCACCATGAGCCCAGTAACGGAGGCGAAGCCCGGTGAGGCGTTACTGCTCAATATCCTTGCGCATAACACTCTTAAGCGCTTCGGTCTCAGCCTCTTGACGAACGAGGCGGATTCGTAAATCGTCCCTTTCCCGAGTCATCTCCTTCAGTAATAATTCCAGTTCCTCGATGCGATCAACCTTCTTTTGTCTGTACTTGCGAGCAGCAATGGTGTTTCGCTGACGGCGCAGGATCTTGTCGGTATGGGGAGTGGCCACCTCTAGGTCCTGAGCTTTGTCATTCGGAGAGGACCGGTGAGATAACTCAGCCCCCGAAGCAGCAGTATACACTGACATATCCAGGGGCGGAGGCTGGTTCGGGCTGTTGGAATTGGAATTGGAACTAGAGCTGGACTCAAAGAGTGCATCCAGCTGAGCCGGGAGGAAGGCGTCGGAGAAGGTGTCGAAAAAGGCGGGTGGTGAGGTATCGAGGAAGGCAAGTGGGAAAGCTGAGATATGTAGTCAGTACACTGGATGTTGAGTCATCGGGTGTAGAGATGGGAGAATATTGTTAGTATTCTTACACTGATCAATCGGGTTGCCGAGGGGACTGGCACTGATGGGAGGCGTCGCATAGGTAGCAGACGTCCATGGCAGAGTGTCCCAAGGGGGCGGTTCAGAGCACGGAAGGCTAGGATCTATTTGGACAGAGTCTGGGCCAAAAAGCCCAAAGTCTGTACCCGGGAGGCCAGCGGCCGACAACTGAAGTGACTGTTGTTGGTGTTGATGCTGAAGATCATGTGTCAAACCGACCTCGCCAGGAAGACTTGAGTTATCCTGGGCCCATTGCGGCAATAGGTTGGGCTGGCTGGAACCAGACGGTCTCCCGCTGGATCGCGGCCGCGGCGGCTGATGATGATGCGGCGCACATTGTTGCAGAGTGTAAAGGCCCTGTTACCTAGGGCCAGAGGATGACAATGTTGAATAGAGATAGGGAGATTCTCGTCTTGCGAGAATGAAGATGTCGTGGAGAGGAAATAATGCGCTCGATTAACGGTGGGAGACTGAGATTTATAAATTCGGCAAAGATCCTGATCAACCTCTGCAGGCGGAATGGGAATGGGTAAGACGCCCGATCTCTGGCGGGTTTACGACGGCTGCAGACGTGGGTTGCCCGCACTGATAACACTAACCTTAACAACGGCAATAGAGGTACGGGTGACCTGGCGTAAGCCCGGTTGAGGTGTGGCTCAGCACGCCTGCAGCAGACAAGATTGTTGCGGGCTAACCGATGTGCTGATCAACAGGCTAGGGACATTGCGAATGGTCTTGCAGCTATCCAATTTACATAACAAAAGTGGTTCTGCACAACTCAACATATGCACCAAGACAGTCTGATCGCACAATCCGGGAACAACTTTCTGCCCCGTGATCATTGTTCAAATGAGCCTTAGTGTGACCTCTGATCAAGGAGGGCTGACGAGTTCATTCTGTATGACAAACGTTGCTGCAGCCCAGCCTCAGTAGACTGAAGACGTCACGTCACGCCTTATCCTTTCGAAAACACTCCGACACCTCGTTCATAACATGATCGAGCGAGACAGATAGCCTACCACAGTGCAGGTAGATCGCGACTGGACCCCCAGTGCTCTGTTTCCCAACTACAGACGAAAGCTGGTAAAGCTGCAGGACGGCCAAAACGGGACTCTTCTGACTGCTCTTTTCCGGACCCCTTGCCAAGTCCCCCCTCATCGGCGTCGTGCAGCTGCATGGGTCGAGCCCGACCCCGAACCTACGGTGAACGGAGCCCATCCGACGGCCGAAAGCCTCTGGCTCTCCGTCTCTCATTTGAGTTGCCCTCACACAATCACACACCACAATCGGAGAATGGATCCCACTCTCCTTGCAGATACGGCGTCGGCGTCAAACTCCTTGTCGCCGCCGGGGGCTCCTCCCAGTCAAGCAGGATCTCTGGAGAGCGAAAATGGCAGATCCTCCATGGCCCACCGTCCTCGCCATACGCGTACCAGCACACCTAAAGTGAGGACAGGTTGTGTCACCTGTGAGTCTTCACCCAGCTATGAGGGAACTGAATAGGTAACTGGACACCGCTTACTCCATGCAGGCAAGTAAGTCAAGTCAGACTTCAAAATTCAACCGCGAGTCTTGTGTACTGATTAATCCTCTAGAAAACGGCACATTAAGTGTGACGAGGGCAAGCCTCATTGCATGAACTGCCTCAAGACCCGTGGTGTCTGTGATGGCTATGCCATCAAGCCGAGGAAGACGAGAGGGAAGGCTCCGAAGGACCTGGAACCCTTGAACCCCGTATCATCATGTCGCCGGGCCAGTCCCCGCCTGCGCATCCGGGAACCCAATGTGAACACCCTCGATTTTGCCGATGATATGCAAAGCGTCTACTTCAACGACTGGAACGAATTAGTTCGCGTCTCACTCGGCGGCGCTCACTTCTCTAGGACCAACCTCTGGACAACCACGATGCCTCAGCTCACCCGCCGAAACTCAGCTCTGCGACAAGCGGCTATGAGCATCGGGGCTATCAGCAGGGCACTGTCTTCGCAGGGCTCACCTTATGTCGTGGCGAGAAATTTTGGTAACATCGCCAACCTCCTGCAGAGCCCGCACTATCAGAATGCCATTGTCTACTACTGCCAGGCACTTCGTCTACAAGGGCAGGCCGACTTCCAGACTGCCAGCATCCAAGAGGCGGTGCTTTTGTCCATACTCTTCGTCGCATTTGAGGCCTTGCGGGGGAACCGACACTCGGCTCTTCAGCATGTCAAGTTTGGCTTCGTGTTGTTGCAGGAGTTGCTCACCAGCGAGGACTCGGATCATCGCATCTGGAACCTCGCGCCCGACCCTAGACAACTCATTACCGAAATTCTGGATCTATATAACCATCTCGACGTACAAAGTCGCACCGTGCTCAGTGGCCATGTGAAGTCAAGCCGGTCACCGGCCTACGAACTCATCAAAGGCCTCAAAGCCAGAGGCCATACTATTGAGACGTACAACATGCAGATACAACGCTATACTGACCCAGGGGAAGGAAGAAAAGCAATGCCGGAGGTGTTCAGCAACGCTGAAGACGCATACTTTTGGTGGCAAACCTGCCAGCGACGAATCGCCAAGCTTGGTCCTCTCTTGCTGACTGTCATCGACGATCTCAAAGTTGAGGAGATCAATGATGAAGCCGGCATCGATCAACTACTCGAGATGATGCAAAACCAGCCTGAACTGCTAGCGTACTGCGAAAAATCGGTCGCAAATCTTCAGCAGTGGCGACACGCTTTCGAGCCGCTCTACAACAAGACATTGTCCGACAAGAACATCTCACGTAAAGAGTATCTCAAGATCTTGCATCTTCGTATGCACTACCTCGTCATGTTTCTATACAGCTTCTTTCCCAAATACGCCGACGAAGCTACCATCGCGTCCATGACACCGTACTGTCGGGAGATTAACGACGTCATCGAGATCCTGCTTCGTGAGCAGCAGAAAGACTTCAAGACTCCCGCACACGTCTTCTCAATGGAGTTCGGCCTGGCCTGGCAGCTCACCGTCGTCGCTATGACGTGCCGTGATCCCTTGGTTAGGGATAACGCGACGCGCATCCTCGAAATGTACCCGCGGAAAGAAGGGCTCTGGGACAGCAAGGCTTTTTTGGCCGTGCTGAAAAAGAACCGCGAGCTAGAGGCAGAGAATGCTAGAGAGGGAACACTGGCGGAACAATGGAGGCGGCTGTGTAGAAGGGAATTCATCTTTGAAGATGCTGGAGAGACCATTATCTTTCGCTCCTTAAAGAAAAAGGAAGAAACCGGCGAGTGGGACCTAGTTGAAGAGACCGCCGAGTTCAAGGGAGAAGTTGATACTCTAGAGTGGAAGGTAAGGCCGGTAAGCGGCCAGGGTCTTATTATGACCGGCATCAGTTAATTTGATTGTGTAAATATAAGATAAGCCAGTATCCTATCAGCTATAACATAGTGGCAGTATATGAACATTAGACACTGCGTAGTGTTAAGTATTCATAGCTCTTTAGTATTTATCTTCGTGAACAACATTCGGAATGTTTCTCAGCTTATTGTTTCTTCGAGTTACGTTACTAAGTTTAAGAATGTTCACCTTAGCCTCTATGAATCCGATCTACTAGACCAAATAATGCTATAACTTCAAACTATAATATTCATTCGATAGCGTAAATATATCCTTTTCATTAGTAAACTCTACTAGGTAGCTAAGCGTTATATTAGAATAGAGTAGTTTGAAAGAAATAGCTTAGATAATTCGAAATCATTTCAAGTATTAGTCTTTACGGGCGTAACTAAAACTCAGTTTGTCTGTTCTTTAGTATCTGTTAGTATGTCGTTGTGGTAATGTTACTAGGTTAACGGAACCGTGAGCGTTATTCCCTTTGCCTTAGTACTAGAGGAAAACGAATAGAGTTGCCCTGATAATCAACTTTCTTAGTTAAAAATGCTGTATACGTCACTGATGGCGCGACTTCGATTTGATCAGCGTGTGCCGGCATGAGATGCGAAAAGAGGATAGATTTAGTAGAAGAAACGTGGCGTTACTAGCAGCAGCTATGAAAACTATGGGTTGGAAATAAGTAGTCTGCGTAACGCGTATACGACAACTGGCATTTACGCCTTGCGGAACTGTACAAAGATAAAGGCAGCAAGCCCAGAACAGACAGCCCCAGTCGTCCACATCATCCAGCTATGCAGCAGGCTTTGCGGGACCAAAAGCCCATATGATGAACCGGTTACAAGCCTACGAGGCAACTCGAGGCTTTCTATGTGAGTTCCTTTCAAGTAGCTCTTGTACCAGGCTCTGACGAAAAGACTATCACCCTGCCAGGGGACAATAGTTCTAATCATCAATTTGGAGAAAGGTAGTTGCTGGCAGAAAAGGCTGTTCATCCACCGCCCCTGCCGCATAACTTCAGTGATAACGTTTTGACGTTTGGCCTGAACTCGTGCAAGCATAGTCTCAATCTCCTCTGCTGACAGAGCTCCTGAAGTTGAATTCAAAGTTGCAACTAGAGTGTTGATGAAAGTTGCGGCTGTCTCGATAGCTCCGTTGCCGCCTTGAGCAGTAATTGGGTGAAGCTGTGCAAGCAGTCAGCAACTCAAGTCCATTATCAATGTCAAAATGTCAAACATGTTACCTTATGGGCAGAATCGCCTATCAACAGAATTCTCCGGTAGTTCCAGCGAGAGAAAACGTGCTCTTCTAGTGCTACAAGTGTAGTAATCTGGCGTTCTTCATATACGTCTCGAAACTTGATTGTGTCCGAGATGCTATCGTCCAGGTATTGCGATGCGAGCGCCGCCTCATCTTCCTTTGAGAACCTGGGGATATCGTTCCCATAGTAGGTGCGATCCATCATCTTGATGAAAAACCAGTATACACGGTCTTTTGGGGCTGGAATTAGTAGGTAGGATCGCCCATCGTTGAAAGCGGCATGCTGCACCCCGCGCCAACCTTTGGGATGCTTTGATATTCCAAAAATGCATTTCGTGTTCGAATTGAGACCTTTAATGTTTGTGAGAAGGTGAAAAATTTACTAAATGGGCGAGGCTTCTTTTGGCTTACTCTGGGCTTCGTTAGGAGGGAACATATTGTGCTTTTCTTGAGAAGCAAGGCGCCACATCTCCTGTCTGATGAAGCTCCGGACCCCATCAGCCCCAATGAGAATGTCTCCTGCGTAGGTGCTTCCGTCGCATGTCTTGACGGTGACGCCTGAGTCATCCATCTGCACCTCGGAGACTCGCTTGCCGGTCAAAACACATTCCTTTTTACAAATCTGTTCGTATAAGACCTGCAGAAGCATCTGTCTGTCGATGAAAGTAGAAGGGTAGCCGGTCCTGCTCGAGTTTAGTAATGGAACGATGGGTAAGATATTGGACGAGTAAGGGAATGTACAGGCTTTCGATCCGCTCAGAAGCACTTGCGCCTTGGGTTTCTGACAGAGTGAGTCCATCTGAGGATCTGATAGAACATCTGTAATAGACGTCGCCCGCGATCTCACGCAGGGAATCGTAACATCCCAGTTGATCGAGGATCTTGAGGCCATTGGGCTCCAGGCCGATGCTCGCACCGAGTTGAGGCGCTATGGTGGGATGGGCTTCAAGTAAAAGGTAGTCGATTCCTACCTTCTCTAACATGATAGCTAGAGAAAGGCCGGAGATACTACCACCAATAATGAGTATTTGGAACTTCTTTTCGGATGCCATGATGAGATGCAGTCGTAATTGAAATGAAGGAATGTTATAAGTTGCTAAGTTGAGAGCTTGTATTGACCGTCACCACTAGAGATCTCCTTCATCTTTATATTAACATCCTATCTCAAATACAGCAAGATGCAGATAGGTATCATAATGCAGTAAATATCCGTGGCCCTGTTCATCTGCAGGCCAAGAATACGCTGAGACATATCCTATGAACCTTGCGTACTGCTCTCCCAAGTTAATGCTTTTAATCCGTGGCTGCGTATAATACGACCCTATTAATGTGGTTCTTGACAATCTACTTGTCTCGTTGTCGCGGGCCCGAAAGTCCGCTACTGCAGCTTGGCAAACGCCGCCTCATTCTTATCTATCACGCCAGGCGCTAAAGTGACTAAACCCTATCGTAGCAATTGTGGATAGAGGGACGACTACCTGCGATGCACAGGAACCTGATCCAGCACTTGTGGGCGATGGTCATCCGAAATGAGCGAAGCCGATATCCGTTTCGTTGCAGGGAAAAGTGGCGTAGATAGGGGCCATCGGTGCCCGAGGGGCGCGTGAACGCCCTTGTCACCAACCCCGTCCACCTTGACCTACAGAGTGAGTGGTGCTCAAAATGCGGCCATTCAAAGCATCTGGTCTCTTAGCCAGCGCCTGACTTGGTCTGGAATAAACCATGCGTCGAGTGTTTCTTGTGACTAAGGTAGATCAAACACAACTTTAGGCTATAGGAGCCACCTACAATATCTCCTCTGACCATCGCAACTTTCATTTCGCTCGTGACAACATGCCTCTCTTCAATCTCTTTGGCAACACACCAGACCTCAAGGTCTCCAGTCATATGCTCTCAAGAAAGCCTTAGCATCTCTCTCGTGGGTGACGTCACAGATAGTCTTTCCTAATCACCAGCAACTCCTCCGGAGGCACCTTCACATTGATGATCACCCATGGCTCTACGAGCGGCGGTCCTAAAGCATTTCTACGCGTTCATCGGAAGACGTACGATTCTACGCCCCAAAAGGACGGGATCGTATGTGAGTCCGGAGCGACGAGAGCTGTCTGACGAACATGACTGTTTAACAAATCGCATCATGATGCCAGGGGACTTTTGCGGAATTCCAAATAACGCGATATACGTCTCCTAGCTCATGAAGCCGGAGATTGAGCTGAATCCGGTACTCGTGTCTGGCTCGTTTGAGGCACTTCTTCTCGAACGTGATTGCACGCGCTCTCAACCTGACCAGACCTCTGAACAAGACTGAATTTGGAATTTGAGGTGTTTATCCCCTGCGCAACTTTGCGTTGCAGTACGACCTGATTAATCACAAATTTGGGCCGGGAAGCTGTCACGATGGTCCAAACGAGCTCATACCAGATGATCAGCATCCGATTTAGGTCGACAAATATTACGGACCGAAATAGCTTCATTTGAATGATGGAGTTTGTCAAATCATTTCCCCTCTGCTTGTATCCGTGCAGACAAGCGCCCTTCTTGCCTATAGAACCTTTATGATGGGCCAATAGCCCCGAAGCCGCGGTTGAGCTTACTATGACAAGCCTACGCAGTATCATATTACAATACACGGTGTAGAGGTAACTATCACGGTTAACGGATTTCCTATGGCGCACTTTATTCACAGCGAGGTAATTTTTATCCCTTCCGACACTAACTTCTCTTACCGTGTATAAGCAAACTCTACTACACTTCTATATGTTAGCGGAGGCAATAACAGGCTAGATGCCGTGCTCATGACAGACTCGATCGAATGATCCTTACCATTTTATCCTTGCGAAGCGCCCCAGTATACCTAGCGAGAGGGGCTTCGTAGTGTTGGAGGCGAGAATACGTGAATTTTATTTCACTTCACTGACAGTTCTAATGTTATGCATCTTTCTCAAAAGTAAATTGATGTCTATTAAGTTATTAATAACGTCAACTTCATCAAAGAACCAATGTCGCAAATAGCTTAATAAACGAACAGACCACAACCAAGCTAAGACCCCTTTTCCAGGGGCAGGCGCGGGCTAACCGACTCAATAAGACCCGGCAAACGCATATGGTAAAATAAAAAAAGATAACGAAAGGATTCGACTTTGAGGAAATATACTACAAATTCATTCAATTACTTTCGTCTGTTCAGCTAGATTTGGGTACAATACCCTTTCGATCACGTGCATCTAATAGCCACACTGTGGCTGTGCAGACGATAACGAAGCCATCACCAGCTCCTTATCATGCGCGGGCCGAGCATCCCTCCCGCCCTCCCCGCAGCACGACGTCAATGTTTCAATGTCGTTTATGATGCACGCCTCCGACAACGCAGACAGCTACTACTTGGACATTCGAGATCGAGTAACGAGTAAGGGACTAAACATGCAATCATCTCAGTCAATAATCCGCAATCGCAAAAAGATACTGAATGCGTAAGGCATAGCGCCCCAAGACCAACGCGACGACCAATGAGATGGCCAATCGCCACGAGAAGAGCCTCGGCTGACCCTGATTAACAGATGTATGAGCTGCAGGAATCGAAAGCTTCGGTGCTCTGGGCGAGATCCATGTGAACGGTGTTCCAGTCGTAAAGAAAAGTGTGTTTACGAAGAGAAGGAAAGAAGAGTGGCTGTTCCAGTCGAGTCAGTTATTTCCCGGATTCTCAAGATGTTCCACAATTGCTCATTTCAATGCAGTCATATCGCTCAATTACAGAATCGGATCAAGTCGCTTGAGTCACAGCTCCGAGCAGCGCAAGACAGGCCTGCCGATGGGTCTCCTCTGGGCAACGAGGAGCAAGCCAGAGAAGAATCACCTATGAGGCTGCCGGAAGCAGAGCCTCCGGGCTCAGTATGTAACTCGGGATCAACCATTGTCGCTTGTATTGATTCAGCGTAGCCAGCAGCCACGAGAGAGTTCGCCAATACTTTAGTGACCTCTGAGCCACAGATCAAAATCCGCCGTTACGGCCACGCAGGTAGGCCCACACTTTATTTCCCTTATGAATGCATCTAAAGTAACGGTTCAAAGCCTATCTCGGCCATAGCTCGACACTCAGCTTCAGCCGCAATGTTCGAAACCTTCTTCAGTCTTCGACTCCTATCGCAGATCCGGGTAGTGTATCTATAGAGCGCGAAGATGTATCCTACAGTTCTCCTCTCCCACCTCTTGCACTAGACCTCACAAAAGTCCCATTACCCCAACTCTCTTATGCAGAATACTTGACCAACACTATTGTTCTAACCTTTGGGTCACTATACTCTTTGTTCGACGCCGAAGCGTTTCTGGAGAAGCTGAGAATGTTCTACTCGGAACGTGCTACAGGAACTGTCCCGAACCCATGCCTCTGGCATATTCAGATGCTTCTAGTCCTAGGTCTCGGTAAGTCGATACTCAGCCGAGAACATTCGCAGTCGGGACCCGCAGGAATGGTGTACTTCGCCAGCGCTATCGAAGCCATGTCAGATATTCGCAGACTCTACCAGAGCCCTTTCCTATCAATGGAGATTCTCAGTCTGACAGCTCTATTCATGCACGCAACAGACATGCTTCAAGAGGCCTACGTAACGGTATGTCTGGAACAAAAGTTTCTGGTTTAAACCTATGGCTAACTTGAAGGTTAGATCGGCAACGCTTTACGTATTGGGACAACCAAGATAATGAATGTGTCAATGCCCGAAGCATTGAGACCACCAAACGTCGAGTACCAAAGGAGGCTCTGGTGGACAGTCTACTGCATAGACAGAAAAACCGCTGCCATGCTGGGAAGCACTATGGTAGTCCGAGACGATGACATCTCCATACCTTTCCCTAAAACGAAGGCCGGGGATGAGGTCCAGAACATCTTTGCTATCCACGTCACTCTCTCATCCCACCTCGGGAGGATTCTCGACGGTACGTGGGCATGTTTTCAGTACACGTGTAGTCTAGCATCTCAATATGGTCTGCCACTGACAGTAATCTTGTAGTCATATACGGAGTACACAATCAAAAGCAGCGAACCTTTGTGACACAAGTCAGAGAAATCCTTGAACGTCTGGTAGAGACTCTTGTTGTCCTACGAGAACACTTGGACTTGGACCTGGACGCGCCGTCGCAGCCCCTCACCCGCGATGCTGCCACTTTACACCTGCTTCTTCATCAAGTTCGTGAGAGCACCAAACATTCGAGAGTCATGACGCTGATCAGAGGTACAGTGTGTGATTCTGACCGTTCGACCGGTTCTATATTCCCTCTTAAAGCCGTTATTGAGTCTGGATACCTTGGAAGGGCGAATCCGGCAACCTCCGTCTATCTTTGACTCGATGCTGAAAATGTGTGTCGAGTCGGCGATCCAAATTCTCAAGATCATGGCTGCGCTGAAACAGCAGATGATGTGCGGTAAGTCCCCGTGCACCAAAAAGGATAATCCATCATCCCTAACTCTTCAAGATATCTTCCTACCCTACGACATAGACGCCCTATTTTCTGCAGCCTTTGCGCTAGTCTTGATAGATATCATCCGACCCGCGAATGAACTGCTGTGGGACTTGCCTCAGGCCATACACCTACTCGACGAATACGTGTCACGGCATGTGGCGCCTGCACAGGCTTACCGGTCAGATCTATTACAGCTTGTGGAGCTGCACACCAAGCTTCGTGGCAGCGGCGATATCGCAGACGCACACCGGCAAGATGAAGGCCAGGAAGCGGAAAGCAACGCTAGACACACTCCTAGTATGGTTAGAAACGCCATCGCTAATGTAGATCCATCGGGGGCCTCCGGCAGCCCGGTATGGTCGCAAGTTCGACCTGGTAATGATGGTTCTGCGCCGACGAATCTGGAGACAATGATGTCTGTTATAGACGACCTGAATGTTCACGAGTCAGATATTATCGATGCCGCAATGCTCGAGGGCGGCTGGATGTGGGAGGATGACAACATGTGGACGGCTGCATAGTATAGTCTTTAAGATTACTAACGACTCGGAACTTCCTATTGACGATCTATTTTCCGGTAGCCTACCCACCCTCCCTATCAATCTCATCATTCATGGCAACACAGTATAAGTAAAATAGTTGCTTGGTGTTCGGGTGGCCTAATTGATAGATGTTTTTGGTGTTACTAAATGCACACCCTTGATCAGGTTTTATTTCAGATAAGTCTACCTCATGATAAGAACTTTTGCGAAGTCTTCAATTCTCTTTTCTAATTTGCTCGCGCACAGCCGGAACATACTGCGGGCATAACGTGCTCAGCGATACATCACTACACTTCTGGTGATGAGGAGAATATGAGCTTGAACTCACCGGAATGACCTGGATTTTCTCGAGATCCCATACGCCTCTCTTAGCGTATATATCGCTCTTAATGATCTTGTAGACTTCTTCGAGGCTCTCGGCAGCGTAGACAACGACACTTCCTATGAAAAGCGCAGGCTCACCCTCGACAGGGTGTTTTTCGAAGATCGCACCTAGGCATGAACACGTCGGCAACGAAGAATGAAAAAGAAATAGTGAAACTTTTACCGCCTGCTGGTAGTGTTCCCGAAGTAATCATGGGCTTAATGCCTTCGTAATGGTCTCTGCGAAGGAAGTCAGCCCCGTCATGAAGCCCCAGTCGAACGCGACGCTAGTGATGCGAGATGGTCACGTGCCCTTTAACCTTCTTCCTGATTTCCAACACATTGGGATTGTCAGGAAGAATAGCAAGCCACTCTTTCTTTTGAGCGGTCGTTGCTATTCCGCACCGGCCATATTTTGCCAATGTGCCAAGAGGGCGAGCCCGTCGAACCAGCACGGACCGAATAGACGATTGAAGGAAGAGGGCTGACATTTCAACAATTTCACAGTTGTTAACAATATAATGATCTGATAATGATCAATTGGTATTTGATACTGAAAACTTGAAGCATCTGGCATGAGAGTCGCCTTTTAGCTGGGAAACATCTCTGGTTGGTGTTAATATCAATGCTGAGTTCCGACCCAATCGGAATCGAGGTCCGAAGGCGGAGTGGAGGTGCGGCATACCATTCCGACTAGCAACATGTTCTTGTACTTTACTAATATGCCTCGATAGCAATAGACAGTAATTTTGATCGTGCTCGCATTTCAAACGACAAAGTTACACGCGCGCAATGTCTCTGTTATATACTTCGATAATTCGATCCTCGGCTCCTCGCATAGCAGGAGGGATCTTGGCCAGCCGTAATGCTTTGCTGAGCAACGGCCCCAAGGTTCGAAAACAACGGTCAAGTCTTTCCAAGAAATGTTTCCGCATGTTCTCTCAGAATCCTGGGTGTAGGAGTAAAATGGAGACAGTCTTCTCACCGGACGCAGTCGCCCGTGAGTACACACAGATTTCTCCACCTGATACACAATTCACCAACAGCTTTTGTGTTAGCTATCGGTCCATATCATCAGGCAATCAAAGCAAATGGCCTCGTGTTTCTCTCAGGTCAAATTCCTGCGGATCCCAATGGAAAACTCATCGAGGGTACTGCTACTGAAAAAGCTCATGTAATGTGCCGGAATGCCCGCGCCGTGCTCGGAGCCGCTGGCTCCGGCCTGGACAAGGTGGTAAAGGTTACGGTAAGTTCAAAAATTTTCGCGGCGTCTAACAAACAACTGAAGAGCGCCCAGATCTTCTTCAAGGACTTCAGAGATTACAAGGCGGTAAATGATGTGTACGCCGAATACTTCCCACACGGTCCTGCCCGCTCCTCATGTGAGGCCAAAAAGCTCCCGGCTGGTGCTTCTATCGAAATGGACATCATTGCTTTGCAGTAAAGTATGAAGAATGGACAGTAAGCATTAGTTGGCTCGAATATAGATCACCATTCAGATATTACAAAGGCTCTTGACGATGATATTTGATGAATGGATAGTGGTTAAGATGACCTCATGACCGCGGAAATGAAAAAAAGCCTTGATTCCCTAAGCCATCATTTCATATTACTCAGGCTGGGGCTGGAGATGTACGCAATCAAGAGTTGTTACCATGTGATAATCCAGAAGGATCTCGTACGGCGACATCATTGACATTATCAGTTTTTTATTTTGATAGGAACTGTAAAAAAAAAAACCTATCCCAAAACACGGCGGCGGAGCTCCCTCTTCAAAGCATCAACCATATACTTAGTGCGCTCTACAGCGCCTCGATTTTCAATTGCACGACGATGCAAGTATCCCAAACATTCTCCGACCGACCCACATGCCATGAATTTGAAGATACCAGGGGCCCCACCATCGCTCATAGACACATCAGCAGCGTATTGATCCCGATTTTCAAGCAGCGCGCAGCTCAGCTCGTCAGCCATGCCCATGATCTGACCAGACTCCAACTTTGTCATTGGTAGACCCTTAGTGGCTCTCGACCGGTGAATTCTGATGGCCTTTTCGGCACTGGCTCGATTATGTGTGGCAAGAAAGAGGGCGGCAGATGGAAACTCAAACTTAGCTGAGCTTTGAATCGGCCATGGCGTTCGTGAGATGAGAGTCTCGACAATCTCGTCATAGGAGCGATCTGTCTCTTCTTTGGTGTCATGGATGAGGGAGCGGATCTCATGTTCAATGTACGCTCCTCGCACGAGTTTGACACCCACAGTCCAGCCCTCAGTGGCCGCAAGAGTGATGTGACGTGAAGCGTTATCTCTTGCTCCTTTGAGATATGCCTGGATTGTGTTGTAAACGAGAGGCTGTCCGTCACGGTTGAACTTCCTCATCAGTTTAATCACCCAATCATCGAGGCCGACTTGGAAGACTTGTTGCTCGGCATCGACCCAGAGCCGTGCACCTCGTTGCTTCGTTTCGATGCATATCTCTTCCATTGACCTTAAGACGACTTCGGGCATTGGTTGGCGTGCTCGCATAGCGTCGATGGCAATTGGGCCGGCACCGGTCATTCTAACGAACAGAAAGGATTAGACCACCACCGTCGTCGCAGTACTACGAAATTCTACAATGAACAAATGACTGGACAATATCAAAGCAAGTACGTGTAGCAAGAATAACTCACTTGAGGGACAGAAAGTCTCCAGGCTGTAGCATCCGCAAAGTATCGAGATTGAGTTGCTTCCATTCTTCCACCATTCGGCTCCCAGCAGGAATGTATTTGGCGTTTTGAGACTTTGTGACTCCCGAGTCTAGATCAACGGTGAATTCTCTCGCATGGCCGAGGATGACGCCCTGATAGCCCATCGCCTTCAACTTAGCAATTGAATGACTAATTTCGGCGTGGGTGGTGCCGGCACAAAAGTGATTGTAGAGAGCCCATCTGATCAACCGGTTCAGTAGGGGGTTCCTGTCCAAGTCTAGTAATGGACTTTTAGACTTTGTTACGAGATTGAGAAACTTCAGCGATGGCTGCATGATCCACGCTCTCCTCATTATCGATGTCAACACTAGCGAGCGTAGGAGGGTCTTCGTAGTGATTCGGGAAAGAGACGTCTCTCCCAGTTGAACCGCATCTTGTGCTTTGGTTGCAATATCAGAAACCCCCCGGTGTTTGAGACGAAGGATAATGGGCGAGAGGGTTACCCGAGCTGGACAACCAACGACAACTTTAGGAGGCATGGTAATGTGAGGCCGAGGTTTCAGGAATGGTTGTTTGTTTTGGTGGATCATTCGTGTGTAATCAAGCGCTATCTAAGTCACGAACTCTCCTCAAGAGCCAACTAATTCAGGCTTATAAACTCTGAAGCCGTCTGACTAGCGACTCCTCCAACACGAGCGGACTCAAGGATATCTCCGTTATCTTGACATTACCCTCGGTACCTCCCCTCATTTGCAGTCTGTGATAACGATTCGGACAATATTTCCACTCAGCGAGGCCGGAATATTGGGCCAGAGACGTTTCGATAGGAGAAGGTGTCTAGATAGAGGCTACTGGGCAAGTCGGAATCAGTCTCGGAGCAAAATCCCGATAGGCTGCCCTCAGCTTGCCCCCATGGTCGATTAGGCGCAGGCTAAAAGCATAGGTTCTCGGCCTCCGCTATGGAAGTGCCATTACATTTGGTGACATTCGTCCTGAAAAGAAGCAGATTCGTGCTTGAATGCTAAACGCAAGAATGTGGTCCCTTGGCGCGACACGTGGTAGCCGGAGCACCCTCGGTCAGAGGCTTCCGGCAGCTACCACTGGGCGGAGACAGTTGACTCTGCTACACCCTCCCAAGTTTGAAAATGAGAAATTCGTATGTTACCTTTCCCTGCAACCTCCTCTGGCTAATCGATTTTTTTTGATTAGCTTCAGTATGCGAAGGGCTCTCCGGAAAGAGCTTCCTTGCAGGAGGCTTTGAGGAGGCTGAAAGATCAAATGCCAGTATATATCCCAATCACGGTGAATGGGACGGCGGTGTGTATTGCACTCTCGGGACACGTCCAAGCCCCGGCTGACTAGTGTGACACAGATGAACTCCAGCAATTTTGGAACACAATTGAACCCATCAAACCATAGAGAACCCGTGGCCCAATACGCCTGTGCCACGCCAGAACAAGTCAACGGAGCCATCGATGCTGCTTTGAAGGCAAAACCTGCCTGGGAAGCTCTTCCTTTCGAAGACCGCGCCGCAATCTTCTTGAGAGCCTCGGAGCTTATTGCGGGGAAGTACAGGTCCGACATCGTTGCGTCAACCATGCTCGGACAGGGCAAGAACATATGGCAAGCGGAGATCGAGGCACCGAGCGAAACGGTCGACTTCTTCCGCTACTACGTCCAGGAAGCTTGGAAGCTCTATTCCTATCAGCCGACAGAGCAGCCCAACGGCAACTGGAACAAAATGGAGTACCGTCCTTTGGAGGGCTTTGTCTACTCTATCGCTCCCTTCAACTTCACGGCCCTGGGAGCGACACTCACTAGTCCGGCTGCCTTGCTTGGCAATGTCGTCATTTGGAAGCCCTCCGCCTATGCCACGCATTCAGCCTATCTCATACATCAAATCCTCTTGGAAGCGGGTCTTCCCAAAGACGTCATTCAGTTTCTCCCTGGAGACGCGGAAGAAATCACGAACACGGTTCTGAAGCGTCCAGAGTTCGCCGCAATCAGCTTCATCGGTTCTACTCAAGTGTTTAAAGGAATCCAACAGAAAATCGGTAATGGCGTCGGCAAAGGGATCTACAACTCCTACCCCCGAGTTGTCGGTGAAACCGGCGGTAAGAATTGGGGCGTAGTACACTCTTCGGCCGACGTCAAGAGCGCCGCGTTCCAAATCATCCGTGGCTCTTTCGAGTATCAGGGCCAAAAGTGCTCCGCATGTTCTCGGGTATACGTTGCCGAGTCCGTGTGGCCAGAGTTCAGGAAACATCTCCAGGAAGAACTCCCTAAACTCAAAGTTGGCGACGTGGAACAATTTGACAACTTCATCACCCCAGTCATCCATGAAGCTTCCTTTGACAAGCTGAACAAGATCATTGAAGATGCCAAGACCGACCCCGAGCTAGAGCTCATTGCAGGAGGCAAGGCCTCCAAGGAGCATGGGTACTTTATCTATCCCACAGTCTACAAGGTCTCCAATCCTCGGCATAATATCATGTCACGTGAGCTTTTTGGTCCCATACTCGGTGTTTATGTCTATCCTGACACCGAGTGGGAGAAGACCTTGGAATTGGTTGACACGACATCACGCTATGGTCTGACGGGTAGCATCTTCTCCATGGACCCTTACGCATCCCAGCAAGCAAAGACGAGGCTCAAGCATGCGGCTGGCATGTTGTATATCAACACAAAGTGCACCGGATCTGTGGTTGCCCAGCAGCCGTTTGGCGGTAGCCGAGATTCTGGTACTAATGACAAGACCGGCACCGTTGCTCATTTGCAGCGATTTACCAGTGTTCGGTCAATCAAGGAGGAGTATAACCCTCTCTACAAGATAGAATATCCTTCCAATGAAATGTAGATAGTCTCATGTCATGTTTAAGCAATCCATTTTTTATCCCTATGCCTTGACTGCACTCTTGTCCGAGCCGAATATCTTAGCTGTGAGCCCACATATAGAGTGCTGTATACGCTGAGAAGATCTGTACACTTGACCAATCCTTCCCCTAATGATCTATGCAAGTTTGATGTGGGAATAATGCAATGTTGACAATCCTCTCTAGTTGCGTATTGTGCGTCTGTCTCCGATTGCCGGATTGGTCTTGAAGATTGGCAGCGCATATAGATGAAGGAACATTAGTGAAGGATAACCTCCTTCTCTGTCTTGACCGGACTGTGGGATACGCCTGCTCTTGGCGGGTTGGGATTATCCTGCATTCAGGACTCGGGATGCGCTTCCGAGGCACCCGGTAGGGCCGTCAGATCCGTTCTGGACCAAATCCAGATAACTTATCTATTTCGCGGTTCTAAAAGTACATGTACAGACAATCAGGCTTATCCCAGGGCCATGTCAAAACCCCCCCTCAAGTCCTTCAATCCAGTTAAACAATTGTAACTTCTCTTCATTTCGTCATTGACGCCATCAGTTCAACGACTGTATGACAATGGAACGCCCTGGCAAAACAATTGCCTTCATAGGTTGCGGTAAGTTGAAGTCCAAGCCACGAAGTTCACAGGCTAAAGCGAACGATTGAACAGGAAACATGGGTAGTGTCTTACTACAAGGCCTCCTTAGGGTTAGGGTTAGGGTTAGGGTTAGGGTTAGGGTTAGGGTTAGGGTTAGGGTTAGGGTTAGGGTTAGGGTTAGGGTTAGGGTTAGGGTTAGGGTTAGGGTTAGGGAAGCTAGTGCAACTGCTACATGAACAATACGCCCGCCTGAACAACGAGCTCAAGAAGACTGCCAAAGACGCAGAAGAGAAGCAGCTCCTTCTCACAGATCAAGATCTCATTTGGAGAGTCCTTGACG